ATGGGGGTGCAGCCACTGGCGCGAGCGCGACTCGCTCCTCCAGGCCCTCGCCGGCGATGGCGAAGTCAATCAGGGATCCCTGCCCTTTGCCTCGCGTGGCAGTACAGGGGGGAACCAGAACAACACCTCGCAGAATCTCGTGAACGTTGGCCTTTACCACTTGCTCGGGCGAATGGTTCCAATGTCCGATGATGGCACAAGGGTATGCCAGGCTCCTCACACAAAAAAACCACCGCCCTCGCTGTCTTGACATCGGCCCCGTCTGCAAACCGAACTTCGGAGCGAGGTAGATGGGCACCATCATCACATTGCCCGCATTGGGCTGCCAAACCATCGCAGCAAAGCCAAACAACAGATTTGCATCAGCCGACCGATACTTAACCAGATGCCCAGAGGACGATGTCGCAACTCGACAGAATAGCTTCAACCACTGAGGCCCCCGTCTCTGATCGTCCACTTGCTCGCGCAGGCGTAGCAACCATCTTCCACCCATCCTTGCGCACTGAGGCCTGAGCCTCGGCTGCGCGCTTCGGATCGAGGTGCGTTTCCGCGAACAAGCAGAGATTGAACCCCTGCTGTCCTGCCACAAACGTGTGGATCTTCGTGCTCTACTCGCTGCTGTTGCTATACAGAGCCGAGATTCGCTTCTGACTCGCCTGCCCTCGAAGTAGATCCAGTAGCTCAGCCATGACGACGGACTTGTTCGGGGAGGCCACCTGCTCTCGCACCGGCTTCGCCTCAACCAGGGGCTTGACCACCTGCTCTCCGCTCTCGGTCTCCATGGGGGTGGCCACCCGCCTCTCACCTCCATGGACATCGTCAAGGTACTGATCTAGATCATCAAAGGGGTCTCGATCATGGCTCACATTCCCTTCATGACGTGGCGACGTTGAACCCACGGACGGCTCGAGGAGCACCGTGATGCGACTTGCGTTCTGATTCTCAGCTCAGGAGCGGTCGCGCGGCTGCCAGTGGCTCGGGGGCGGGGTCCGAGGGTGTTCCCAAAGCTGTTCCCCGCCCCGCCCAGGCCAACACGCCGCCCCTCCGGTCGACTGCGGCCCCGCCCTCCCTCGTTGCCCCACCAGCAACGGCGCGCTCCCCCATCTTCGTACGGACAGCGACCCGCGGGCCCGTGGCACTCGGAGGGCCCACGGGCACCGCAAAAGACATGCCCAACTGCCTCTCACCAGTGTTCCGTGACGACGCTGAACCCACCGACGGCTCGAGGAGCACCGTGGTGAGTTGTGTTCTTGCTTTGATCACAGCCGCTTACGCGTTCCTCCACTATCTGACATGGCGACGTTGAACCCAGATGCGGCTCGAGGAGCACCGCATCGGGATTTGCGCTCTGACTCTTTCCTCCGAGGTTGCCCGGGAATCATGTGGCGACGCTGAACCCGCAAGCGGCCCGAGGAGCACCGCAGCGGGATTTGCGACCTGACGCCCCTCCCCATCGTAGATGGCCATGAGAGATGAGGATGCCGACATCGCCGTTGCCAGGAGGAGGAGGAGGACGAGGAGGAGGAGGACGAGGAGGAGGAGGAGGAGGAGAAGGAGGAGGAGGGGGAGGAGGAGGAGGAGAGAGGAGGACGAGGAGGAGGAGGACGAGGAGGAGGAGGAGGAGGAGAGGAGAAGAGGAGGAGGAGGAGAAAAGGGGGAGGAGGAGGAGGGGGAGGAGGGGGGGGGAGGAGGAGAAGGAGGAGAAGGAGGAGGAGGAGGAGGAGGAGGAGCAGGAGGAATAGGAGGAGAAAAAAAAAACGAGTGGGTTTCAAAATGTGACACTCGCCTTAGCGCCGCGCACACTCGTGGTTAAAATCACACCAGCCCTCTGGGCGTAGGTCGTTTAACGATGTTTGTTCCTCTTCCAAAAACCCTCTTCCCCTTCGGGGAGGGGGTTACCCCTGCCCCAACCCCCTCCCCTGATGTTGTTTGCGTTGGGGGGGGGGGGGGCGGGGTCGCGGGTGGTTCGAGGGTATTTTTTTCCGGCCCCTGGGAGGGTTATTGCTTGACACCCCTCACGCGGATTGTGGCCCCCGAGAGGGGGGGACCTCGATCAGCGCCCCCCCTCCTTTGATCGATCGCTCCGAAAATGGCCCCAAGAGGCGTTCCAGGGCCCCCAAGAGAGCCCCAAAAGAACCCCAAAGGGGCTCCAAGAGGGCCCCAAGAGGGCCCCAAGAGGCACCCGAGAGGCCCTCAAGAGGCCCCCGAGCGGCCTCAGAGGGCTCAAGATGACCTCCACCATGGTTCATATAGCCCAAGCTGGCTCAAGATGGCTCCCAAAATGTTCCAAACGGCCCCAAGACCGCTCCAAGAGCGCCCAAGAGCGCCCCAAGAGAGCCCCAAGACGCGGTTCGCGGGCTCCTGAGGGGAGGGCTGCGTTGGGGCCCCCACCCTGTAATCGATGGCCTCCAAAATGATCAAAAAAAACCTTCAATGGTTACCAAAAGGGTTCCAAGAGGGCACCCAAAACTCCCAGAGAGCACCAGCAGCAGCAACAACCGCAAGAATATCTCTACGTCGTCCTCATCTTAATCCTCCTCCTCCTCGTCCTCGTCCTCATCCGCGTCCTCGTCCTCCTCCTCATCCTCCTCCTCCTCCTCCTCTTCCTCCCCCGCGCCCCCACGCGGCCCCCAGGGATGGCCCGAAGAGGCCTTCCAAGGCCACCCCCTTGCTCCCAGAGATCTCTCGGTTCACCCTGGTTGCTCGCTTGTTTCCCTGGACGTGTTTCTTTGTCCCTTTTTCCCGTCAGCTCTCATGGGCAGGGCTTCTGAATGGGCTGGTGGGGAAACTTTTTCGTCGCGGCCGCAGGCGAGCGCGCCAGCAGCGTCACAGGTCGGGCGGGCTACGCGCGAGCCTACTTGCCCAGCACACGGGAACCGACGGCCGAACCTGAGCTTCCTAACCCGCCTAAGCTACCGGGCGGCGCGAGGTGGTGCCAGGAAGCGGGGCAGAACCCGGAGCCTGCCGGCGGGCGATGCAAACTGCAACCAGGACCAGGATCCGGGGGCAGCGCCGATGCACGAGTTCAACCAAGGAGCTACACGCAGCCAAAACGGCGCGGCAGGGTCACAGACAGCGACGCTGACAAGTGACCGCTGAGGGCGAGGACTAAACGTAGGATAAACCACACGAGACATCCATGCACCCAGCCCCTGAAAGGGGCAGCTCGCTTGCAATACGCTCCAAGAGGTAATACTAACACCGATGGCCAGGAATACGTCACTGACCAGGAACCAGTACGACCGGCGCCGCCGAAGTCGCACACTCACTCCTGAGAGAAAAGATCCGGGGCAATCCCTTCTCCGAGAACGAGACGAACTGGTGGGGATACGCGAAGCGTGCGGAATTTACAAAAGTTTAGCAGATTGAGGGCGGCCCGTTTTCGAAGTGTGGCTCTCGCCTTAGCGCCGCGCACATTTGCATTAAACAAACTGCAAGTGCTTCAGGGATTGAGGGCAGCTCCACTCCAAAATGTGGTTCTCGCCTTTGCACCGCGTACACTCATTTAAAATACTTGCAAGAGTTTCATGGTTTCCTATGATCAGCATACCAGAAATTGTGTTTTGGAATGGTTCAGGATTATGAGCGTGCAACAGTTACACTGAATCGCGGAGTTCAAGTCCCAAGAATGGCGTTCTGGCACGATTCACGATCGTCATGACGCAACAGTCAAGTTGATCCGTGGCTTTGGAATCCCGAAAAGAATGGTTTGGCATGCTTCAGGGTCTTCAAACGATTGTCTTCCAACGAGGCAGTTCCTTCAGTAAATTAACCGTTGTAAGGGGCCTATGAAGCGGGAGCTTGGAGGGAGGGTGTCTCCCAACAACGATGATGACTCTTGGGATTGCACTGGTCCTCCTCCTCCTCCTCCTTCTCCTCCTCCGCCTCCTTACTATGCGGGTTGACTGCAGACTGCACACGCACAACATACTCAGAGACACACACACACACACAAACACACACACACACACACACGCACACACACACTCACACACACACACACACACACGCACACACACACACACACACCGAACTCGGTAATTAATGCCCATCCTGTGCCCGAGGGGTCTAGAAGACGAACAAGCGGCTTAAGCATCAACTTTTGGCGCTCCGCGCGGATTTCTTGGATCTGCGCTGGACCCCCCTCCCTGGCGCGCCGGAGCGCGCCAGGGGCGGCGCCAGAGGCGCCTCCGGTGGTGGGGGGGTGTAGGGGGTGCAGCGCGGACCCAAGAGATCCGCGCGGAGGGCCAAAAATTTGTGCTTATGGCATTTCTTCTTCGAGGGTCGGCGTGTACGTACTAGGAAGCTGGATATACTCATGGCTGGATTCACGTGTGGAACGCTCGCTCTGGGGACCTTCCTGGGGCCACTCGCTTCAAGCATGCGTCGATGCGGCATCGAACGTCCGTCGCCTCGAGTCGAACTGAGGTCGAACTAGAGCCGGAATAGAGTAGAACCGATCCATGTGGAGAGCACCGAGAAAGACCCCAGAAAAAAACAGACATATATCGGGGAGACGTAAGTGTCGGGTACGGGGGATTCGGGTTGGCCTGACGGGACCATCATAAAACAACGACGAGACCAAATTTGAAATCTGACACGAACTCCCGCTGCAAACATCCCACGAAAATCGGACCGTCAAAATCCAGGACGCGCTCGCCAACAAAAAAAACGTCGGCAAACACGGGGGGGAAGGGGGAGGGCGAGGGGGAGGGGGAGGTGGAGGGGGGAGTGGAGGCGGAGGAGGAGGAGGCGGAGGAGGAGGAGGAGGAGAAGGAGGAGGAGGAGGGCGAGGAGGAGGAGGAGGAGGGGGAGGAGGAGGAGGAGGAGGAGGAGGAGGAGGGGGAGGAGGAGGAGGAGGGAACACCCAGAGGCCACGCGCTGCATTCGCGTACGCGAGCCCGGCGTGCGCGGCCAGAGAAGGCCCGCGCGCTGGAAAGACATCCGGCCACGTGCGCAGCCACCTCTCGCAGGCGCTCGGCCGACGGCCCCCGGCGCACCGCGTCGCCGCGGCCGGTCCGCCCCGCCGTCTCCGACGCGAACGTCACCGCGTGGCCCACCTGAGGGTGCCCAAAGCTGGCCCGGAGCGCGTCGCCGACTGGGCCCTGCGATCCTGGCGTCGTGGCTCTCTCGGGCGGGAGCGGTTCGCGGGGGGGGGGAGCTGACTGGGGGGGGGGGGAAGAGAAAGGCCCCCAAGGGAGCTGACTGGGGGGGGGGGGAGCTGACTGGGTGGGGGGAAGCTGACTGGGGGGGGAGCTGCCTGGGGGGGGGAAGCTGACTGCGGGCGGTTCGTGGGGGGGGGGGGGGAGCTGACTGGGGGGGGGAGAGAGAAAGGCCCCCTAAGGGGCACTTCGAGGCCCCTCTTGGGCCCCTGCTGGCTCCAAGCGGAGCCCTGAAGTGCCCCTGTCGGGCCCTTTTCTCCCCCCCCCCCCCCATTGTAGACCACCCCCCATTACCATTAGGTCGGGCATGTCCTCCCACAGGCGGATTTTGGACGAAAAAAAAAAAAATCGAGGCATCGTCCCCCGACTATTTTGGACAATTTTCGAATATTCCTCCTGAGGCATTCTCAACTTCACACTCAGGAAGCCAAAATGGGCCAAAACGCTAGTAAAACCAATGATTTTGGCACTCCGACGACTCGCGGAGCCCCCCGTCGGGGTAAACCCCCATCCCCGAAGGGGAAGAAGGAGGGGTGGAAGAGGAAACTCCCTAAACCACCGACGCCCAGAGGACTTCACATTGCCACCCGCCGATCCTCTTTCGCGCGCGGCGCTTCCGCCCGGGCTCGAGCCCCCGGGGCCCTCCTCGCTCGTCGGGGCGGCTCGAGACGTTCGGGGGCGGCCGAGAGGGGGGCGTCCACGAGCGGGGGCGCACACATCGTGGCCAGCGGCACGTGCGCGGCCCAGGGGGAGGGGGGGGGGGGGCCAGGGACGCATTGAGGTAAGAAGAGGCGCCATGATCTCGGGGGCGGGTATCGTGGCACCCGCCAGGGGACCAGTCCTCGCCCTGTCTGGCCGCCCCCGACAGGGGCCCTCGCACATCGAGCCGGCTCGAAGCGTGCCGCGGAGAGCCGCCATCTCCGAGACCCCGGTCCTCCTCGCGCGCCGTCGGACCTCCAGGACGGGGCCCCGCCCCTGCAGATTGTTTGCTGCTCCCTCGGGGGGGGGGGGGGCTGCAGGTTTGGCCCCACACGACGAAGCGGGAACTATTGATCCGATTACTACTAGTATCTACTAATAGTAGATATATACATATGTGTATATATACACTAGTGTGTTATTATTGATATATATATATATATATATATATTAAGAGAGACATATTCCCATCTTAATTATCTAACACCAGGAAGCCGACAGAGATGGGCCACACCCCCCCCCCCCCCCCCCCCCCAATAGAATCTGAAAGGCCCCGGGGGTCCCCGAGGCTCTCCTGGGCCGTTCCCAGGGGCCACAAAACAGACCAAGAAGGCTCCGAGAGGCGCCGAAGACGGTCCACGAGGGCCCCGAGACGCAAACACTCGTTCCAAGACGCCCAAGATGGCTCCAAGACGGCCCAAGAGGCCTCCAAGACGTCCCACCCCAAGAGGCCAACATCGTCAAATTCGTACAGGAAAACGTGGACTTCTAGCATCTACGACTTTTCGGCCATCACGGGGTGGAAGACGGTCCAAGAGGCCTCCAGGCCCGCCCCAAAACGGCCCCAGAGGACATTGGCACCAGAGATGAACCAGGAGACCCAGTGTCAGACCTGCAGATCCTTGGAAGATTCAGCAAGCTGCTGAACACGGGAGCGAAGAGGTTCGGCTTCGAGGCCACCGAATTTCAGAACCAGGGCACCGCCAAAACCACACAGGGTAAAGCGAAGATCCCTGAGTCCAAGACTCAACCGGGCGCGCCAACTGATGGCGCTGCCGATTCAGGGTCTGGCCGTTCTGGCGGGTCTGCTCCTCCGGCCCAGGGTGTTCCAGACGCCATGGCCGGGGGCGCATCGGATCCAGGCTTGGCCGAGCATTTCAAGAGTTGTGGTCTTGATGCAGGCCTGGCCCTAATTAAGCGCTTCATGGAAGGCCCCCGAAAGATGGCCAAGAAACCGAAACTTTGACACAATGGCCGACTTCACGGCATGGACAAACAGCTCAGATGCATGGGCTCCGTCGCAAACGTTGACGGAGTCGATCTCCGTTCCCTCACGTTCTCTGTCTGCAAGAACATCGGCTCCAATTGGCGGACAGGATCCCAACCGCATGCAAGTGGCGTTCCGATCGAGGAGGTCAATGCGAACGGAGGCAATGAGCCGAGAAGTCTACCCGTCCGTCCGAAGGAGATCCGTAGGTGGAGGAAGGATGACAGCCAAGAAAAATTGTACTCCTCGATGCTGTTCTCCCAGCCACTTCCACCAGAAACGCGAGTTCCGAAGGCAGCGGCGGCTGCGCAGTCCCCTCGACCATCACGGCCCTCCCATCCATGCTCGTCGGAATCGATATCAGTTCATAGGTTGTCAACAGTGGTTCAGCATTAGTTGTGTGTTGCCTCGTTATCTATGGATTCGGTCTACTATCTCACCGCCAGCATTGCCTTCAGCGGCGAAAACATAGACCACCTCGAAGGCATCATGGCCTTCATCGGTCAGCTCACAGGACTTTGGCTGTCAGTGGGAGATTTGAACATGCCCCCCAGTGACTTGGAAGAGTGGGACAGACATGCTAAAGGTAGGATGCTCTCGCTCGACGAGGGAACCGGCGTGTGCTGCCAGGGAGATTGACTTCGGTATCGCCTCAAACGCGACGGCCCCTTTCGTCTCGAGAGTTGAAGCAGAGCAGAGCCCCAGTGCCAAGACGCGCATGCCGATCGGCATTGCTTTCTCGGGGCTTCGTCGGGGCACCACGGCGTCGAGGGCGGCATATCAGAATAAGTCCCCCATCGACGATCGAGAAGCCCCTCCCAGTTCGACCTCATCCTGCTGAGGCGCATCCTGATGAGTGAGTTTGGAGATTGGAGAGTTGGCCAGCGGCTGCCTCACGATGACGCGCACGTGCTGGCTAGGCAACGTTGAGTCGCATCTGGTCCAGCTGCCTGACAAACAGGCTTGGTGCCAGCACAGCTGAAGGGACGCGGCGCAGGCTCGAAGGTGGCGGATGCGGCTTTCGAGACGGCTCGGAAGCAAAGAAGTCAAGGAAGGCCCCTCGCTGGAGCACCAGCAGCGCTCCTCCTACCTCACGGCACTCATGCGCCTGCGCGCGATCGGCTTCAGCATGAAGGAGACAGGCCTCCGTAGCTCCGCAGCACTCAGGCGGCAGGCACTCACCCGCCGGCGCATCTGAACCATCCTCCCTCGGAAGGCCCGCTGTCAACATGGGCCGACGCATCATCGGCCTCGCTCGTCTCTCTAGTGCAGGGGGCCGGGGGGAGGCTTTGAGGTTCCTGAAGGGGTGGGGAATCATGTCAATGCTGTTCCGGCTCGCGCGATCGCGCGGCCAGGAGCGCTAAGTGGAAAGCGCGGGCAGAAGCGGCTGCCTCCGACCAAGGCGGCCGCGCGGCGTATCGTTACGTCCGCGGGACCACTCTCTCCACCCGGATCCTCGCCCCTAGGGATGATGACAAGCCACCAACGCCAGCAGTGGGCCAGCAACCGGTTGATCCTATTTCAGAGCAGTGGGATCCGCTGTGAAGCAACCCACGAGGTGATGGCGAAGCGCATCCTCGACTTCGGGGCCCTGAATTGGCCCGAGAGGTTTTGACTGGCGTGGATGTTGCTGGACGCCTTCAGGGGCTTGGCGTTTAAGGTCCCCCTTGGACCCTGGGATCCGCTTCCCGGCATCACCACCGATTCCCTTGGCAGAAACCTGCAGCCCTACCCTGCTGGAGCAGGGCTAGGGCCGGGCCCCCTTCCTCCGCGGCACCTGCTCTGGCAGCCAGTCACTTGTAACAAGGGCTCCCACCTTCGCGCTTCGCGCTGCGCGAAGCGCGAAGTGCGAATAACTTCGCGCTCTCGCGCCGCCGAGGAGGATGAGGAGGAATTGTAGCCGGACCGCGAAGCGCGAATGACTTCGCGGCCTCGAGGGCGCCCTTGTGTGAGGAAGCGCTCACCGACGTGCTCGTCACATGGGAAGCCAACCCCGAGGCTCTTGACCGCTGGGCGCTCTCTCAATCCGCGCCCTTGTGAAGCCTGCCCCCGCGGGCGGGATCAGGCCCGCAGCGCTGGCCTCGGCCGGCCCGGAGCAGGGCTCGGTCTGGGCCCAGGCAGCCGGCGGCCAGGAACCGGGAGCTCTCTCTCTCTCTGCACATTCGGGGAGACGTAAGACTCGGGTACGGGAGACTCGGGTTGGCCCGACGGGGCCATCATAAAAACGACGAGGCCCCATCGGAAATTTGACGCGAGCTCCCGCTGCAGACATCCCACGAAAACTGGACCGTCATCATCCAGGACGCGCTCGTCAAAACAACGTCGGCAATCCGCGTTCCGGCTTACTCGGGTCTTGCGTTTCCCCGAAACATGTCGGCCTTCTGGAGCCCCTTGGGGCCCCGCCAGCGACCGCGCGGGCCACGCTCACGACACCTTTCAGAGACTTGCACGCGTCAGAAGCGTTTTCCGCTGCGGGTGGTCTTCTAGATCTGTCAAAATATCATGGGCGCATCTCTCGCGCCGGCTCTTTTCCAACGGCGCTGCTCGTGGGGCCCCCAGCAGCGCTCCGCAAGCGCATGTGCCCCGCGACCGACTGCCTCGCGGGGCTGGTAAGGCACCAGGTCTGTGTTAGAACCAGACAAGCGTCCAGCCCAGTCCAGGGAAAGTCCCGCAGGGCGTCACACAATTAAGAAGAGTTGGTGGAGGGAGTTCTCCTACGACTAGTTACGGCGGCGTGGGGTTCGGCTGCCACTGGCACCGAAGAGCAGAAGCTGCGCTCGCTCCGCCTTGCCACCCTCCGCGCGGAGTATCGAGTGCCCCCTGGGACGGGGACCTCTGTGGCTCTCAGGCTTAGGGCCACGCCCACGGGTGCTCGTAGGAACCCGCTTGTGGCTCACACGGTAGAAGTGGCCGAGCATTGGGCTCTCTCTGCGGTTTCTTAGCTGCCTGGGTTTGGGACCCTGGAGGCCTGCGTGACAGCCGCCCGCGGGGCCCTCTCCAGGCCTCGGCCCAAACTGTGTCGATACTTTGCGAGCGGGGCGCGGCCAGCGACAGCGGCCAAGGATGAAAGGTGCAAGGCAAACCTTGGATCCGTGGATAGTTGCTCGTCCGCACTATGCGGGTAGACTGTAGTGGCCCGTTCCATGGGGATTCTAATTAGACTAGGTGTTCCCCTGGGTTCATCACGGGGCTTGCCCGGCACTCAGCGTCTGCAGCCTCAGATGCTGCGGCCTTTCGCAGGGCTGAGGGTGCTTGGACCTCACCTTTCGATTGGGCCCCTGTGGCTGCAGCGCCTGCAGGGGACGCGCCGATGGGTGGGCGGAGCACATGGCAGCGGCCATTCGCTCACTTGTTAGAGGTAGTCACTGGCCCCAGGCCCGCCCTGTCTATCACGGCACAGCAGTGCGAAATCGTTGCGCCCACTGCGGAGACAGAGTGGCTCGATTCCATCGGCTATGTCTGTGCCCCAGACTGTTCGAGACTCGTAGAGAGTGTTGCCCGCTCCATGTAAATCAAGCTGCCAGTGTTGCCAGGGGGGCTCAGCGAGCATGTCGTGAAAAAAGGTTTGCGCGTTGCCTGTGGCTCAGTCCAAAGGTCGCCTTTCCCCGTCGCGGGACGCCCGAGGAAAATGTGCTGAGGCTTGTTAGAACAGCTCTTAGCTTCCTGGTCAGGTGTCTTCGGGGCAAATCTTCGTCGACGGGAGTACTGGGGAAACCAAAGATACCCATACCGCCAATCCCCGGACTTCTCCTGGGGTGCGTTCTGGATTGCGAGGCGAATCCAGCGGTGGCGACAAGGGCCTCCCAGGAGGCCCAAAACGGCGAAACTGAGCGAAGGGTAGCGGTGTAGGTACCTTTTCCTCCTCTGAGAAAATCGGCTGAGGTTTGCTAGGTTCTTGATTGGGAGCTTTCGAGCCGAATCTTCGTCGGCGGGAGTGCTCCTAACACGGGCCATGCTGGGCTAAGCAGCGCAGGATTGGTGGCACTGGGCTGTGCTGACCAGCTCATGGCGGACATGCACGGTGTCGTGCCTCCCTGGATCGCTCCGTCGCAGGGTGCCAGGAAAATCAGAGGACTACGCGCTCGATGCGCTGAGCTGCCATGATGCGTGGAGCGAGGAAAGTAGGCTAAGGTGTGTTAGTACGTTTTCTGGTTGAAGTTTTCGGACCAAGCCTTCGTCGACGGGGGCGCTTCCAATCCAACGCGGCCCATGCTTTTGGTTGACCCAAACGAGGGTCCAGCGAAAAGGGGGTGGTGCAATAGATTTGGGGCAATAGATCTGCGGGGTTGCAATAGTTCAGGGGTGCGCAAAACATTCCGGGGCGCAATTGTACTGCTGGACTTTCGCGTGCAGCGCACTTCTGCTTGCAGCGCACTGCAGTACATCTGGCGCCATGCGTTTGCAATACCACTGCCCCAAATCTGCTGCACCACCCCTTCTCAGCCCGACCCCCTTGTGGGCCACGAGGACTGCTGGGCCGAGTGGAGCTGGGCGGGCCGCAGTGGCAATCGACCGTGCGGGCCAGCTCGGGGCGGCCGTGCTCGGTGCCGTGCCTCCCTGGCTCGCAGCGGGAGCAGGAGGACGGCGCGCTCTCTGTGAGGAGCTGCCCTTCGTGGGTGGAGCGAGGGACGGCGTTTGTCAAAGGTTTCCTGTTGATAGGCGATTGTGGACGTTTCCTTGTGCACGCTTTCTTATTGTGGAAGGCAGTGTACTGGGACTGCTCGAAGTGTTCTGCGATTGCGAGCGTTTTCATGTTCGGCGCTTCTGCAGTGGGCGGAAGGGGGAGAAGGGAGGGGGGTCTGGCTGATCTCCCGACCTCTGCTTATTCATGCGTCCGATGGAAGAGACTCCACCTGCTTAAAAGAACGAACGAACGAACGAAGCTGCCGTCGCGGGAAAGGGCCAGCGCCCCTGCAAGGGAGGCAGACGCGCCTGTAGCGCGCTGGCCCTCTGAGAGGACCGGGAACAGGCTGCAACATACGCATGGCGATTCAGTGCCTGTGTGGAGTTGGAGGAGGCAAGAGAGGCAAGAGGGGGGCAGACGGATCACGAATGGCGTCAACAACAGCCAAGATCTACTCCAGGGAGCTGCTCTGACCTCCTCCAGTCCCAGGCGTCACTTCTGGGCCGGCTGGTGGGCCAGCGTCGGGCAGACGGCCCGAAGTCTGCAGGGTCAAGTCGCACCGCTCGGAGGGAGATGCTAGGAAGGCTCAGGATCTCTGGCTGGTTCGAGGGAACAGCGCAGTTGACAAGTTTGCCCGCCAGGGAGTGCAGCCTCGGGACATGCCAGAGGACGGCTCCCTGCTCGCTTCGCGATGCTGAAGCATTACTGGGGACTGTGTGTTGCGGCACGGCCCGTGCTCACGCAGCACCTGGGGCGCTGGAGCAACGTGCCTCGCACGGCATCAAGGGCACCACCGCTATTGAATCCGCGGATGACTTTCAGCAGGCGCTGCTTGATTTATGCCTTGGGGAGGGAGGCGCCCTTTTGAAGGAAGTTCCAGGGCCGTGGGGGCTGTGGTTCCTCCGGTCTCCGCCCCCTCCGTCGCCTCCTCAGCCTGATCCCATGGACTTCCTCCAGGCATCTGGGGTCCCTTGGGAGCTCCGTGGAAATAGGCTGCAGGATCTGCTTTTCTGCAAGTGCTGTGGAGCCTCGGAGCATCAGCATGCGCGAGGGGGCCTCTTGGGCACCTGGAGGGGACCCGCTCACGCTGGATATGAGACGCAGAGATCTCGCCTCAGACGTGGCCTGCTCCCAGGACACAGCCTTTGTAAGGCCTCTGCTGGGCCACCGTTTGGGCCATCGCAGGAGATCAAAGCTGCTTGGGGTCCGTTGCTGGGCTGTGTGTGAGCCCTCGGGGGAGGGAGGGGGGGGCGGCTGGTGGGACGTCCGGCCCTAACGCCGATTGTGTAGAGGCCCCCCCTGCGACGGCAGCTGCCCAGCCGTCTGAGTTCGGCCATCGTTGACATGTCCACGCCCTCTGTTCTACAGATTGCCAGGTTGCACGGTTGGAGTGCCCTGAGGCACTTGTTGCTTGGAGAGTGCTTCTGTAGTGCGGGATAAGGAGGAAAAGTGGTCTGTTTCTCTTGGCTAGATCCTAGGTGCCAGGTGGTAAAGACCCACCCTGTATCATCAGTACCTGCAATACCCTCCTCCCTCTCCTCCTCCTCCTCCTCCTCCTCCTCCTCATCCTCCTCCTCTTCCTCCTCCTCTTCCTCCTCCTCTCCCTTCACCCGCCCCGTTGCCCTCCTCGAATGATTATCCTCTTCCTCCTCCTCCTCCTCCTCCTCCTCCTCCTCCTCCTCCTCCTCCTCCTCCGCCCTCCCCTCCCCTTCCTCCTCTATCCTTCTCCCCCTCCCTTGATTCACCATGCATCGGCCTTGTTCGAGCCCCAACAATCAAAAACAGGTCCGGGACGCAAAACGACCCCCAGGGAAGGGGCCTCCTTGGGCGCCGAGAAAACGAAGAAGGGGGCGAAAGCAAGTCCGGTCCAACTCTGTCCCCAAACGCCTTTTTCCAGGGCCGAAACTGACTCGTCTTTCGAGCCGTGTCTCGCCGCGGAAACTGCTCCTTCCTCGCCCCTTTCTGATGGCCAGAACCAACGTTGAGCCGCCTCGACCCCACAGCTGGTTCCAAAGAGGAACTGCCCCGCACCCTTCAAAAAGAGTTGCCCCGATGGGGAATGCGACGGAGGCGGGGTGGGGAGTCGTCGTCACCTCGGGTTATACCGGCGGCCCCTGGCCACCGACGTCGGCGGCCGCAGGCTGGCCACCGACGCCAGGCCGGCTACCGACTCGGACTCGGGCTCCGAGCACAGGTCGCCGCGCCTGCAGGTGGGGAGCAAACCATTTGCCGGGTTATCTTGGAGTTCCAAATGTATCCGCCACCGTGTCCCTTGGTACTTGAAGCGTGGAAGAATGCCAAGGTCTGTTTTGCAGGATTTCTTTAACTCTAAAGAGGGAGTAACCCTCCCTCCACCAGAAGACTCCTGCGTGCATCCCCCTACTCACGGAAGCCACTTAGCTCGTGCCCTCTCGAGGATGGTGCACTTCCCGCATGGCGGCTGAAGGTCCAATCCCCCATTCCACGCGTGCCCGCTCGAAGATGGTGCCCGTCCAGCATGGCAGCTAATGCCCACACACCCAATCCACGCATGCCCGCTCAAGGATGGTGCACTCCCTCATGGCAGCTATTGCCTGAGCCCAAATTCCACGCGTGCCCGCTCGAGGATGGCACACTTCCCGCATGGCAATGAATGCATGAACCCTCATTTCATGAGCGCCCGCTCGAGGATTATGCCCTTCCCGCATGGGTACTACCTCCTTGGCCCATCATCCCACGTGGAGCAAACTAGGTTCCCTGGCGCCATATCTGACACCCCACCCCTTCCACCCATCCCGTCCCATCGCGCTGTTCTTCTCTGTCCTCCGAGGCATGCCATAGCGAACCTGGAACTCCAAAGAGGACCCCATCGCGCTATGTGAGAAATCTGAAGACAAGGGAGCTGCGCAACCACATTGGAGGAGGTGGCGGATGAACCTGAGGATGCGGAGGAAGAGGCGGAGCATCGGGAAGGAAGGAGCAGGACGAGGACGACCAGCAGCAGCAGCAGGAGCTGTGCTAGGATACAGTGGAGGCCCGACCAGAAGGAGACCGTCCACGAGAAACCCAATCCTGAGACCCCAGGACGCCCATCGATGTTTTTGGTGTGGGGACGTCGCGCTCGCCATCGCAAAACCATAAAAAGCCTGAGGAACCCAGAGCAGCCTGGAGGCAAGCAGGGTGTCTCTTGGCATGGGCCCCACCAACCAGGGGAAGGCGGAGGAGGGAACATACCGGGTGGTGAGATACCAGGTGGCGACCTGGAATCCCCAAAAAGGTCACCGCTGGGTTTGGGGACACGGGGCCACCACCGGGTTTTGTGACTCCTTGCCCCACCAGTGTTCGGGACATCCTCGGAAAACCGCACGAGTCCCCAAACCGGGTGGTGACACCAAATCGCCCGAGACTCACCGCCAGGTGTTGTCACCACCACGTTTGGGCTTCTGTCTTCCCCCCCACTTCCCAAATTTTTCTCATTTTTTCGCGGGAATCGACGCTAGATTGAGTCTGTGTGTTTTTTGCCCTCCTGAACCCTGGAGGCAAGCAGGGTGTTTCTTGGCAAGGGCCCCACCAACCAGGGGAAGGCGGAGGAGGGGAAACGACGGAGGCGACAGCGCTGAAACGGGAGCCGGACCCGGAGAAAAAGTGGCTCGCGCGGGGGCGACAGCGCCACTCGGCACGACGGGAGCAAAGAGCCCCTCCCCGACAGGTGAGGCCCGCGCTGCCCCGCCCCCTCCTCCTCCTCCTCCCTCTCCTCCTCCTCCTCCTCCTCCTCCTCCTCCTCCTCCTCCTCCTCCTCCTCCTCCTCCTCCTCCTCAACAGTCGCCGTCAGGCCAGGGTATTTCTAAAGTCCCTGCCACCGCGGCCAAGCGGTGCAGCCTGGGCGCCGTGTGGCACCTCCTGCATGAGGTGCACCGCCGATGATGATGCGGAGGCGGGTGCCCGCGGCTCACAGCGTCCAACCACCTTGGTTGGAATGCTACTAGCCGCGGGCATATCGTTTGCCGTGTTATGATGAGGTTCTGGCGCTGGGTACCGCTCCGCGTTGTCTTGCTGGGTAGGCCCAGCACTTGACCAACCCCGCCCCTGCTGGGTCCTCCTCCCGCCCCGCCTGTTGGCTGGGGAAAGGGGCCAGGGGGCGACCTCACCCTGCGAATTGCGGTCGCTGGTCCAATGCTCGGGTCCTGGCCGTTTCCTTCCTATGTGTTGGTTTCCCCCTAAGGCACGGCGTTTCCGGCGCTATTGGGGGTTAGCCAATAATAGAAAGCCGGAGAACGGATTCAGCTTGTGCCTGCTTCCTCTTTGTACACGTGTGCCCATTGCTAAGGAAAGCTATGATGTGTGGCAGGTTTGCCAGGGCATGCTCGCCCGCGCCATGTTCGGCGTCACGTTTACCCGTATGGGCATGATTAACGTTCTTCCCTCACGGGCAGGCGAACCTCCTCAACAGTCGGATTGCACAACCAAGCTTTTTCCCTCGGCGGCGGGGCAGAGGCAATCCGCACCAGCGTGGGGCCAGCCGGGGTAACCGATCGGCAAGTCGTCCAGCGCGCAAAAGAGGAAGGCTAAGACGAAAGCAGCCGCGCGAAGGAAGCACAACCAAACATGAACATCCAAAAACAATGTTGAACGTCCCGTGTCCCGCGTGTTGGGACTGCCGCGGTCTGCGCAGCTCTGGCCTTCCTTCTCCCGTCTTGCCAGGCCTCGCCCCACACTGCAGCCGCTGGACTCACCCCTGGGTGCGCTCGTGATGCCGCCCCGCGCCCGCTGCCAGGGGCGCTCGGCCGCCTCGGCGCGCCCCGCTGCGGCGTTGCCGCGTGAGTGCGCCCTCCACCCTTGGTTCCCCCCCCTCCGCGGCCGTCCCTCTTCTTTTCCACTTCGAAGTACAATTACCCGGCCGGCTTGGATGCGCGTGCGGACTGCCTCTGCCGCGCTGCGACGCAAAAAGCGTAGAATAGATACGCGGAGAGGACAGTCAGTCAGGGGAGAGAGGAGAGCCACTCATAATGTGCAAGTGTGGAATGGGAGGATTTTGGAATGGCTCGGGGCCAACTGGAAATTCTCGGGACCCCCGGGGGCGACCCATCAGCTGCGGATCGTCGTGACCAGTGCAGGGAGGCCAGAGTGCTTCCAGAGGGCCAACAGATGCCCGAGGCCCGAGTCATGGAATGAAAAACTCATCGCCCACCCTCTCCAACTCCTCCTCCCGGCATCCTCCTTCCCCCTCCGCGTCCCCCCAAAAATCCTCTCATACCGCTCCGCATCATCATCATCATCATCATCATCATCATCATCATCATCATCATCATCATCATCATCATCACCACCACCACCACCACCACCATCATCAGCATCATCATCGTCATCATCATCATCAGCAACTACATCATCATCATCATCATCATCATCATCATCATCATCATCATCATCATCCTCATCCTCATTATCATCATCAACATCATCATCATCAACATCATCCACGTGTTTGCTCGTCTCTTCAACATCTCATCCTCGTCCTCCTCCTCCTCCTCACCATCATCGGCAGCATCATCATCGGCCTCAGCATCACCACCATCATCAGCATCACCATCATCATCAGCGACATCATCATCATCATACTCACCATCAGCATCATCATCATCATCATCCCCATCCTCCTCCTCCCCGATCCTCCTCATCATCAGCATCATGATCAGCATCGCCGTCATCACCATCATCATCATCATCATCATCAAAAACATCAACATCAGCATCATCATCCTGATCCTCATATTCGTCATCGACATCGTCATCGACATCAGTCGCATCACCATCATCAATTACATCATCATCATCATCATCGTCATCATCAACAGCATCATAATCGTCATTAACATCATCAGTATCATCATCACCTTCGTCGTAACCATCAAAAGCAGCATCCTCATCATCATCACCACCATTGCCACCATCATCATCATAATCAGCATCGACATCAGTGTCGTCATCGCCAACATAATCGTCAACATCATCACCATCATCAGCATCATCATCATTAGCATCATCCGCATCATCATTACCGTCGACGTCGTCAGCATCATCATCATCACCATCATCATCATCATCATCAGCATCCATAGCAGCAGCATCATCAATACCTCCACCATCATCATCATCATCACCACCACTATCCTAATCATCGCCATCGTCATCATCATCACCATCATCATCCTCATCAGCATCATCATCAACATCATCATCATCATCATCATCATCATCACCATCGTCCTCATCATCCTCATCCCTCTCCTCGCCGCTGCATCACAGCAGCATCACCAGAATCACCATCAGCATCACCAGCATCCCTCGTCGAAGCCAGAATCATCATCAGCAGCAACATCACCATCACCATCATCATCACCATAACAGCAGCACCATCCTCATCCGCCTTATCCTCATCATCATCCTCAACATCATGATCATCACAATCGTGATCAGCATTATGAAAATGATCATGGTCGGCATCAGCAACAGCATCGTCATCAGCATGCTTGTCTTCATCATCATCGTCATCACCATCGTCGTCACAATCACCATGATATGCACATCATTATGATCATTATCGTCGCGGTGAGCATCACCATCATCACCACCTCGGCATCACCATAATCATCGTCACCACCATCACCATCATCATCACCAGCATCATCAGTATCATGATTACCACCATCACCATAATCATCCCCATCATGTTAATCGTCGTCATCATCACCCTTCATTCCACTGGCCTGCGCGGTGTGCACTTGCTTAAGCTTGTGCTGGGCAGGGTAGGTCCTGATGCGCGCCCACTCCGCGGGGTGCACCACAGCAGCAGCGTGGACCTCGGAGGAGAACGGAGGGGGCCGGGGAAGGCAAGGGCCAAGGATCGACGATCGAGCTCCCAAGATCAAGGATTCTGGACGCTTCGGGGCCCTAGCTGTCGAGAGCGGCCAAGAGGGGGGTGTCGAAGAGAAGGGGGTGCAAATCATGACCGGCGGCATGTGCGCGGCCCAGCGGGGGGGGCAGGGACGTAATGGAATAAGAAGAGGCGCCACGAAACCCGAGGAAATATCATGGCCCCCGCCATGACATCCACCCCCCCCTAGTCATCACCCCCCTCTCTGCCGCTCCCGAAGCTGGGGCTCCAGAGGCCTCTCGGGGCCTCCTGAGACCCGGGGCCATCGGACAAGTTTACTCCATGGCTCTGTACTTCGGGAAACATATCGACCGACACCTCCACAGTGAAAACGAGAAACGCCCTGACTCCGTGCAGCACACGGCACGCGTGGAAATGAAAGGGTTTCCTAAGAATCACGAGGTCTTACGCGAGAGCCAGACTTTGAAAAAGAGCTGTCCCTCGTTCTGCTGAAACCTGCGTCGAGAAAAGGAACGCGCACTGCGCTGGAGCGAAAGCCCCGTGCTGATAACGAACGGTGCCCAATGCCTGACACCGCTGCAAGATTTGGAGCGGGATGTTGGCGGCAATGGGGCGAGAGCCCCTCTTTTAAAAGTAGCCACCCTCCATCCGTGAAGCTATTGCAACATGTAAACGCGAATGCGTGCGGCGCTGGAACGAAAACTACATTCAGGAGGTGAAAAAACACACAGACAACAGACACAACGAATCGTCGACTCCTAGGAAAATATAGGAAAATATGGGAAGTGGGAGGGAAGACGATAACCCCGAAAATATTAGATAAATATTGGGAGTCCTGGGATGTGTGTCTATCCAATTGTGTCGCCCTGGGCCCCTTCATACACATTGCAAAAGACACGCCCTGTCGTCCGAGTGGTGCGAAAAGTTTGAGGCGAATGCCCGCGGCCCTGGGGGACAGACACACATTTTGAACATCCTCCCCCCCCCCCTCCTTGACGCTGCGGCCAGGATCCAGCGGATGTAAGCGGCGCTGGGGGGCGCGAGACACGTGCCGGAAACTCCTCACGCCCCTCCTCGAACCTGCTGCAAACTTCTACGACGGATGTGCGCGGCGGCCTGCCGAGGACAAAAACTTGGAACCAGAGACGCCCCGCACGTCCCTGAAAACAGCTGCGGGCATGCAAAACGACTGCGCGCGACGCCAAGGCGACAAGCTGCACTTTGAGAAGGAAGCGCCCTCCATCCCCGGAGCTGGCACAGACGTGCGAGACGAAGGTGCGCAGCGCGAGCGCGAGAGGCACCCCCTGAAAAAGAGAAGAGCAGCCTTCCATCCTTGAGGCGGTCTGCCGCTTGTCGGCACGAATCTCCACGACGCCGATGGCAAAACCGCCTTTTGAAAATACCCCGTCCCGCCCGCGAAAAACAGCTGCACACAACACGGAAGCGCATGGGCGCGGCGCTCGGCCGGGAGCCAAAAACTTGGACAAAACGGCGCCGTCCCAGCCGTGCAGCTGCTGCTGCGAACATCCAGCACGAATTACCAGCCTGGAACATATCCCTATCCCTATGCTGGGCATCTCCCCATCACGATGCCAATCTTAGGGGTTCCCTTATTTTTTGAGGGCGAATCCCTAAGATGGTCATCGCCTTTTGGCGTGTCAATCGTCGGGATAGGGATGCGTTCGAGGCTGGTAAACGAATGCGCGCGGAGGTCGGCCTGAAGTGTTGATGCTGATTGGGAGCAGCAGCATACGGCGAAGCGGAATTTGACCCGAGCACAAGGTCGACCCAAAAGCGGGCGGGCAGGCGCTGTTCCGAGTTTTCAAGGAACGCGTCATGAAAAGGGACCGCCCTCCATCCTGAATAGGAACCGCCCTCCATCCTCGAAACGTTGTGGACGAATGCGCGCAGCGCTGATGCGAGAGGCACAGTTCGGAATCGAAGCGCCCCCCATCTCTGAAACTGCGGCCACTCGTCATCACGATTGCGCGCGGCGCTAAAAGTAAGAACGCCGTTTCCAAATTCCCCCCTCCCCAACACACCCCGTTCCACCCGCTAAACGGCTGCAGAACTTGGAGACGAAGGCGCGCGGCGCCAAGGGAGAGCCACCGTTTGAACGCGGCCCCCTGCGCCCGCGAAACGGCCGCAGGCCCTCGAAACGAGTGCGCGCGGCGCGGAGGCAAGAAACCTCCCCGTTGAAGACGGCCCGTTCTCCTTCTGTGGAGCTGTCGCAACCTTAAACTCGGTTCGAGCTGCAGGGCCTTGCATGGGCTAGGTCGGGCATGTTCCCCTACAGGCAGCTCCTGGAGGAAAACAAAAGAAATAGTCAAACAAATGACCAACAATGCTCAACAAATACTCAAGAAATCGTCCCCAGACTGTGTTTTGGCAATTTTTGGATATTCCCTCCTGCAGAGGGACAGGCCCGACTCACAAGCAGGTTCGGGCTGCAGGGCCTCACATGGCGAGGACGTCTCTCTCTCTCTGGCGACGCGCCTGGACCGCCCTCTGGCGCCACGCATCTGGAGACGTGAAAAGGGGAGGAGTGGCTTGCAGGACAAGGGATGGGAGGCGGAGGAGGAGGAGGAGGAGGCGGAGGAGGCGGAGGAGGAGGAGGAGGGGGAGGAGGGGGAGGAGGAGGAGGAGGGGGGGCGAGGGGAAGGAGGAGGAGGAGTGGGAGGAGGGGGAGGAGCGGGCGGAGGACCTGAGCATCGCTTAGCCGATCCCTATCCCCACGGGCGTGGCCTGCGCCCCGTCGGCCGATCCGTACCCCTAGATGGGGATATAGGCTGTTCCCTGCGAGCTTCGAGGGGCATTCCCCTCACTAGGGGATCTGCCCCTCGAAAGGGCATATCCCCAACCAGGGGCATATCCTCGACTAGGGCATATCCCCAACTAGGGGATACGCCCCCACTTTCGAGTTTCGAGTTGGGTGGGGATCTGGACGGGGATGGAGAAGGGGACAGGGATCGGTCAAACGATGCTGAGGCCCAGGGAAGGAGGAGGAGGAGGACGAGGCAAGGGATTGATTCGGCCAAGGCAAGGGATCGAGGAGGCAAGGAGCGGCGGAGGACTGGACGTGATCCCGGGATGGAAAGAACGGCGCGGCAACGCCCCTCCACTGCGGGGAGCGCCCGCTGTAAAGAGTGCCCCCTCCGCCCGTCGAGCTCAGGGGCACGCACGAGGGGGCAAGATTTTGCACAGCTCAGCGTAACGTCACGCGGCAGTGCCCCGTTGGGAGAAGGGTCGCCCACTCGTGCGTGCGAGCGTTGCCCAAGTCCGGTCCTGCTCGTGAAGTGCGCGGACGCGTCATGCAAGAGCCCCACTTCGAAAGACGCCGGGCGCCATCCGCGCAACTGTTGCACAATCTGGAACCGGGTCCTAGAAGTTGAAGGGTCTTATAACAAGCGCGAGCCACATTCTGACTGTGGATCGGCCTCCATGCTTCGAAGGTGCTGGCAACTTTGAAAACGAATGCGCGCGACGCTGAGGCGAGTCATATTTGGAACCGAATCGACCCTACATCCTTGCACCTGTTGGAAACGTTCACGTTCAGCACAAATGTGCGCGGTGCTCAGACGAGGGCCGCATTTTAGAAATAACCAGCCCTTCCACCTTGTAGCGTTTAGATATTTTGGCCCCGGGGATGCACATTGCAAAGTGATATAAAACGAAACGCCCAGCCCAGCCGACGGACACGTCTGGTGATGCGACAGCGTGGAATTGTGCATAAGGAAGGGGGATGATGGAGGAGGAGGAGGAGGAGGCGGAGGAGAAGGAGGAGGAGAGGAAAAGAGGAAAAGAGGAGAAGGAGGAGGAGGAGCAGGAGGAGGAGGAGATGGAGACTTCGGAGCTGCACTCGCCCTGTTTGCGCCTTCCTGGGGGGAGGAGGAGGCGGAGGAGGAGGAGGAGGAGGAGGAGGAGAGGTGAGAGAGGAGGAGGAGGAGGAGGAGGAGGAGGAGGAGGAGGAGGAAGAGGAGGAGGAGGAGGAGGAGGACCACGACGACGACGACGACGACGACGTCCAGGGGGGGGGGGGGGGGGGGGGGGGCTCGTCGTCACAGCTAGAGGGAGGAGGCGGGAGGAGGGAGGGAGGGAGGCGGGGGGATCTGGGAGGACGAGGAGGACGAGAAGCAACCACGAAGCGAGGCGCAGGAGGAGGGGGATGGAGCGGGGAGGAGGGAGGAGGGAGCAGGACGGAGGAGGAGGGAGGAAGGAATGAAGAGGAGGAAGCAGAGAGCACGACGAGGGAGCACGGAGCAGGAGGGAGCAGGAGGGAGCAGGAGGGAGCAGGACAAGGGGAGCAAGGGAGCGGGAGGGAGAAGAGAGGAGGAAGAGGAGGACCCAGAGATCCGATGCCTCGTTTTTCTTTCCTTGCGGGGCCCCCGGGCCCCCCGACCGTTTCCCAGGGGCTGGCTCTGCTGTCCTGGCCGTGTGCGGTGACGAGCCCCGAGGGCCTGGCGGAGGCCCCCCGCGGGAGGGGAGGGCACGACGAGGAGCCTCCGCACTGACGTGGTCCAAGACCTTGGAGGCCCCGGTGAGAAGGACGAGGGGGCACTGTCTTGCGCAACCCCCTGGGGGCTCGAGGCACGGCGAGGCGCTCACGGGCCCCGAGGCCCCTCCGCTCCGAGCGCGGGCGGCAACGTGCGGCCGCAGCTCTGCCAGCGTGACGTTGGAGGCGGAGGCCGACGATCCCAGGCGCAAGGCTCGAGGAGGGGAAGGAAGCAGCAGGAGGGAAGACGAGGGGGCAGAGGGGGAGAGGAGAGCACAGCAGAATCGCACGCCGAGAACACGTGCCATAAGAGATCATGCGGCACATCATTCGTCGGCCTTTGATGGTCCCTGGGGCCATCGGCGGACAAGACATTCCCGTCGGGCACCTGCTTGCAGGCCGATGTCCTATGTGATGCGCCTACTCTGGGAAGGAAGAGGAGGAACATGAGTAGGACATCAACAAGGACGAGGAGGGCCACGGAAGGTCGGCTTGTCTGCGCTCCGATCTGGAGATCCCGAGCCAGACAGCACGGCCCAATGCAGCCCAGGTAAGGAGGAGGCGGAGGATGGAGGGTCCAAGTCTGTGGACTTGCGGGCGTGTGTTGGGATGTCGGGGCCTCCTGGAGCGTCGATCTCGTCGCGGCTGGATCCGTCTACAAACCATGGCCAGGGCGCAACCCTGGACGAGTCTTGGGAGCGTTTTGTTGAAGGAATCCCCTCTCCATCTTCGCCTCCCGGCACCTCAAGGATGGAGCCCCGAAGGCTGGGGCCCTGAGGCGAGGAGCCCTTGGAGCGACTTGAACCTGGAATATCATGCCTATCCCTCAGTGGATCACCGAGGAGGTTGCCAAGGGGAAAGTGGGTTAAGTGGGCTGGAAGTGGACGATCAGGTTCTAGCCAGACCTAGCTTCTCAAAGAAGTTGTAAATACCCCAAGTGGCCCAGTGGGGAGATGGCCTGGGCTAAGTGGGCGAAGCCCACCTAGCGGAGTCATCGATTAACCGCCAACAACTTAAAGCACGGGTAGCCCACTTGGAGGCTGGTAGAGGCCAGATGTAGCCCACGGTTGCTTCCATTTGCAACCCTCTATCCCACTTGGTAACCCCAGTGGGATAGAGGGTTGCAAACCAGGCCCCCACGACCAGATTCCTGCCGAACCGCTGACCCGGGGACCGCGCGCTGCATCCCCGGGTCTTGCAGGAGGAGGAGAAGGAGGAGGAGGCCGAGAGGGAGGAGGAGGAGGAGGAGGAGGAGGAGGATGAGGAGGAGGAGGAGGCGGAGAAGGAGGAGGAGGAGGAGGAGGAGGAGGAGGAAGAGGAGGAGGAGGATGAGGAGGAGGAGGGGAAGCAGGATAGGAAGGACGAGGAGGAGTAAGAGCAGGAGAAGGCAAGGGGAGGAGAAGGAGGACGCCGACGCCGACACCGACGACGACGACGCCGACGACGCCTGCCCCCTGAGGCGAGGGCACAATCGCACAGGCTACCACTACAGCCAGCAGCAAACCTGGGGGGCAGAGATACGGTGAGACGGAGCCGCCCCCGCCCCGCCTGGTGGGGGGAGTGGAAGCAAGGCTTCGGGGTGCTCCCCAACTCCTCCTCTCCCCCCTCCTCCCCCTCCTCCTCCTCCTCCTCCTCCTCCTCCTCCTCCTCCTCCTCCTCCTCCTCCTCCTCCTCCTCCTCCTCCTCCTTCCTCCCTCCCTTCCTCCCTCCTCCTCCTCCTCCTCCCTTCTCCCTTCCTCCTCCTCCTCCTCCTCCTCCTCCTCCTCCTCCTCCTCCTCCTCCTCCTCCTCCTCCTTCTGCTCCTGCTCCTGTTTCCGCTCCTGCTCCTGTGTCTGCTCCTGCTCCTCCTCGTCGTCCTCCTCCTCCTCCTTAACCGCTTTTGCTCGAGGCCATGTCAGGGATCCAGCCGGGGTGCGTTCTGACCAGGATCTCGAGGCGAATCCAGCAGCAGCGACGAGGGCCTTCCCGGAGGCTCCCAAGAGGCGGACAACGAGCGAAGGGCAGCAGTGTGGGTCCCCCTCTCCTCCTCTGGTGCATCGGGCGGTCGACAGGCAGACCGAGCGGGCACGCCCCGGGGCAGGCCGAGGCGGCCCACGGGGAGGTCACCGCGGAGGGGAACGCCTCCGCGTCGGCCCAGCGGCGGCGCAACGCAGGCTCGGCCTGGGGCCCCTCGCCCAAGGCGGGGGCGCGCCCGAGCCCGCCTTCGACGAGAAGGGCACGCGCGGCGCCAGAGACTACATTTGAGCTGCGACCAGAAGGAACGCTTGAATGCGCCGTTTCAGCGAGCCCAAGGCGTGCCCAAACCTCCGGTTTCGGCCGTGATGTTGGGCGAACAACACTGCGCGCGCGCAGGGCCCGCAGTACCGTTACAGAGGAGCTGCTCCGTGGAATTCGATCCTCGCTCCGCCTTCCCCTCCTCCCCATCTGACCCTATCCCTGGCCGACCCTCCTCCTCCTCCCCCTCCTCCTCCTCCTCCGCCTCCTCTTCCTCGATCCTTCCTCATCGATCCTCGATCCTCCAGGGCCTCCTTCGCCCACTAGAGCTCCCCCCGCCCCCTGCCGCCCGCCCAGCCAGGGAGGCTGGCCACGCCGCGCGGACCCTTTGCTGCACCCCCCCCCGCGGGGAGCCGAGCACCACGAGGGACGCGACCGGGGTGACCGCCAGATACGGCTTCAGCTCCGCGCCCGCGACGGGTCCGGAGGGCTCCACGGGCGGCCAGGGCGAGGGGCAACGGGAGCAGGAGGAGGGGGAGGAGGGGGAGGAGGAGGAGGAGGAGGAGGAGGAGGAGGAGGAGGAGGAGGAGGAGGAGGAGGACGAGGAGGACGAGGAGGAGGTTGAGGGTGAGGAGGAGGAGGAGGAGGAGGAGGAGGAGGAGGAGGAGGGTGAGGAGGAGGACGAGGAGGAGGAGGAGCGGATCCCACGATTTGGTACCGAAATTGCCCCTGACCTTCCCGGTCTAGCGCCCTCTGCCGCAACCCCCCTGCCGGGGAGCCCTCCGGGCTGTAGACCACGGGGGTCTCGGCGACGGGCCCTCGGGCGCCCGCCACGGGGTCCTCCGGGCTCGCGTCGACGGTGGCGTTCCCCTGCAAGAGGAGGCCCTGGAAGTGGTGCAGCAGCACGGCAGAGAACTTGGAGGGACAGACTCTAAAGGGGACTGGGGAGGGCCACAAACAGGTGGTCACACAAATCCCAGGATTTCACATAGATCTCCGCACACGTTCCAGGGAGTTCCCTCCTCCCCTCAACTTTCCAGATGCTTCCCACCTCTTGGGGGGTACACGTTTGATCGTGTCTGTGTCTATTCTCCCTCCTGGCGACTGCCCGTGCAGAACACCCTACTGGCGGCGGCGCATCGGAGAGTAGAGGGTCGGCGATGTGGGGGGGGGGCAGGGGTTAGAGCACGGCCATGTGCATCTTGGCGTATGTTTTTTATTGAGGGTGAGGAGGGTGAGGAGGAGAAGGAGGAGGAGAAGGAGGAGGAGGAGGAGGGTGAGGGTGAGGGTGAGGGTGAGGGTGAGGGTGAGGAGGAGGAGGAGGAGGAGGAGGAGGAGGAGGAGGAGGGTGAGGAGGATCAGACGTGCAGCTGGCACCGAGGCGAGGGCACGCTCCCGAACACATGCCGGCGCAATCTCGGACGGAACGGCTGCCGGCACCCGGCGGGCACGGGCTCCCCGTCCCCCCCCACCGTGGGACTCCTCTGCGGCCCTCCTGCAGCAGTTTTCCGAACCCTCCAGCGAGACGCTCCTATAGGGAAATACGGCGCGAACGTCCGGGGCGGCGCGCCAAAGGGGGGAAGCGAAAGAGGGCCTCACAGGGCGGAGGGGCTTGTCATAATAGACCCTCGGGCCTTCTGAGGAGCCGCCTCTGGTTTCGGAGGAGGCTCAGGCAGCTTCCAAGAAGGCCCGCCCCCCTGCCTTTCCCCATTGCCGCCGACCGAAACTAAGTCCGCACGAATTTACTCGCTCAGCGCCGCGCGCCAGGAGCGGGGGATGGTGCAGCGCTGACCCAGGAACTCCGCGCGGACTTCTGAACATGTATGTTTCTGCCGCTTCCCCGTCTTCGATGCCAGAGGTCATCACCCCTTCTTTAATGTTGCTGCGGACCTCCGACGGTGTGTGTAAATATGTGCGTTTGCTCTTCCTCGAGACCTGGCTGCCCGCCGTGATGCACAGCGCGCTCGCGGAATGAGTCAGGAGGCATAGGAAGGCACCTTGGGCCTTAGTGGAAATGGGCATATGCGCAAAGGCCCATGAAAAAAAACTCTAGCTCCACTGGCCCTTGCACAGAAGTGTGCGGGGCACCTTGGAGCTTGAGCTTGGGCACTGGCTGTAGAGGACGAGCGGCCGAAGGGGGGGGTATGCTGCATCTCTGGGTTGGCCTTGTCTGTCCCGCCGCGTCGATACTCGCGTCCAACGCGCACCAACTTCACGTCGAAACCACGTCAAATCCGCGTCGGATACAAGAACAGGGACGCCACCTACAGGACAGGCAGCACTCCCCGAAAATGCATCGCAAGGAAAACCCGACGGATCATGAATGTGTCGTACCACATCGCACTGGACCGCGAACTGGGCAAACCTTCGTGTGATCCCGACCAAACCGGCCAGAGGTGCACCCGACGCTAACGGAGGTCCGAAGGGCAGAGGCGATAAGAGCGTGGAGCAGGAGGAGGAGGAGGGGAAGGAGGGAGGGAGTGATGAATGGATGGATGGAACGCTGGGGGGGGGGGGCGATTGGTGTCAGTGCCTTGGCCTAAACATCTAAGGCCAATGCTCTGCCTGCTATGGAGTGCCCCCTGCGTGACATTCGAAAGCGGACGAAGGGCGAGTATAACTACTGCACCGCAGCCCAGCCCGCCCGCCAGCGTGAAAGGAGGAGGGGGCGGAGGAGGGGGGAGGAGGGGAATGCCGGTGTTTTCGGGGGAAGGGAAGAAAAACAAAAAACAAAAAAAAACAATATATATATATATATAACGGAAACATGCAAAAAAGGAGGAAACAAAAAAAAAAAAAAAAAAAAAACGCCCCTCGGCAACGTTCAAGGGGCGGCGCAAGCTCGCCCCCGACGGCCCCAGTTTCAATGTTCATCCTGTCGCGCAGGAAGCGTTTTGCAAAAGTGGGCGTTTATTTCGAAACGATTCGCACTCCCCCGCGTCGAACGCCCCCAACTTTGAAATGGGGGCCCGGGGCTGGACGCGCTTCAACGACAAATACGGATGGGCGTAAACCACGGTACCCCTCGTTGGTCTGCAGGGTGCTGAATAGTTTGTTGCTCGAGTGGAACTCTGTCGTTGTACCAGTAGCCGCAGTGCAGCCGCAACGTGGTCACAAGAACGTGGGTCACGAACGCGAACCCTTCCGCCAAAGGCCGAGGGCCCCACGGGGGGACCCTTCACGACGGGCGTCCGAGGGGCCAAACGCCGAATGACACTAGCGCGCCCTGAGGCGAACGTGGTTCTTACTCCCCGTACGGACGCGTCTCGTCGCGGAACTGCCACTGCGACGTGGACTGCGACAAGGGTCGCGTCTCGCTGGGTATTGGGGTCAAGTGCACGCGTGGTGTTGGCGTGCGTGGGAGTGGTGGCGGCGGCGTGTATGTGTGTGTGTGTGCGCGTGCGCGTGTGTAGTGGCTGGTGGTGCGCGCGCGCGTGCGTAGTGGCATGCGTGCGCGCGCGTGGCGCGGCGTGGTTTGGTGGGTGCGTGCGCGCGCAACGGCGGTGCCGGGTGCGCGCGTGCGCGACGGGGCCAGCACCTTCGCGTAGAAGTCGCAGGCGGCGCTGCCACACCAACGCTTCGTCGAGTAGTGACACGCGCGGATCTTGCCCTTGATAATCGCAGCCGCCGCGTTCGCCGTCGCGCCGGCGTTCACGCGGTGCTCGTTGCCCTTGAGCTCGGGGAAGTGTTTCTGCAGCCCCTCTCCGCGAGAGCGCAAGTGACCCCGCGGCTCTTCCGAGCGTGCGTCTTCGCGCGGGCGTACGCCGGGATCTGGACGACTATGTTGTCGATGATCGCGTCCACGCGGTCGGTGAAGAAGTCGTTAGGCAAGCGCTTCCAGTTCGCGCGCATGTCCACGCGCTCCGCCACGCCCGGCCACGCGCGAAAGGGCTCAGCGCGGGGCGATCTGCAATGGGCGCCCAGGTACTCGGAGAAGTGCTTGGGCACGGTGGACGGCGCAACGTCGGTGACCTGCGCGGCCTCGACGGTACAGAACCCGTGGGAAAAGGCTTCGTACTGGCCTAGCCTAGGCCCTAGGGGCGCGCAGGGTAAAGCCCACCCTCGGGTCTCTGGGTGGTTTAAGGGGTCAGCGGTTAGCCATGGTGGGCCTTGGCCTAAAGGGGGGCCTAGGGTCAGGGTAGCCCTAGGTCTTGTAGGTAAGCCCAGGGTGGGCCAGGGGTACGCCGAGGTAGGCCTAGGCAGGCCATTCCCTCCAAGTTCCACATGGCCTTCATCACGTCCTTGATGTGCACCTCCCGCCCCCCCTGCGCCTGCTAGATCAGGCGGCACCTGGCGGCGCCCAGCGCTCGAAATGTCACTGCTGTGAGCTTCGTCTTGCGACCGCGCGCCCCCGCTCGGGCGCGCTGCCGCGCGCTGCCCCGGAGCGCGCGGCGCACGGTCGTGAGATCGGGGCCGGGCTGGCCGCGAGCCACGCGCGGGCGCTGGAGAAGCGCGCGCACCTCTACTGGGGTCTTCCCCGAAGCGTGGAGGGCGGTGGCACGGTCCAGTTCGGAATTGGACATGCGCGGGGCCATCGCGAACGAAGGCGGGGGCGCCAGGCGAGGATCGAGTCCGGGGAGTCAGCGCGCAACCAATGGGTGCTTGAGCCGAGCTGCCGCAGATGACGGCAGCGTGGGCAATGGCATCGCCGAGGGCACCATCATCACCACCCATCAGCATCATCGTCATCGCCGACCGCCTTCACCGACCGCCGCAATGAAAACATACTATGTTGACTCCGGCGCTTTGGGGAAAAAAAACCCATCGGCAACGTTCGAGGGGCGGCGCAAGCTCGCCCCCGACGGCCCCAGTTTCAATGTTCATCCTGTCGCGCAGGAAGCGTTTTGCAAAAGTGGGCGTTTATTTCGAAACGATTCACACTCCCCCGCGTCGAACGCCCCCAACTTTGAAATTGGGGCCCGGGGTTGGACACGCTTCAACGACAAATACGGATGGGTGTTTTTGGTCGAAAACCACGGTAAGACCGATCACAACCGCTTCGGACTGTTCAGGAACTACTTCGGTCGTATTGCAACCAGTGGGAACGGACTGATCGCAACCTGAAGGATTCCTATATAAACCTTTCTGAAGAACACCGGATTGCAACCGATCCAAGAGGTTCTGCTGAGCTTCTGCAGAGCTTTCAGCGAGGCCTCTGAGAGGCCGCAGCGAGGCTTCTGAGAGGCCTCAGCGAGGCCTTCCGAGGCTTCTCTGAAGCCTTTCAAAGGCTTCTCTGAAGCTTTGTTCAAAGGCTTCTCTGAAGCCTTTCAGAAGCTTTCTGAGGCCTTCCAGAGGCTCGCGGCCCGGGAATATGACCGATCACAACCACTTCGGACTGTTCAGGAACTACTTCGGTCCGAGAAGTATGTTCATCCTGAGATGATTGTGTTCCTGGTTGCTTCGGGCTAGAGGATTCTAATCGTGATAACAAAGGGCCCCAAAACTTTCAAAGGCCCCGCGCGTTCCACAGTCCGCACAAATCCACAGTTCCCACAGGTTGCACAAGTCCTAAGGATCCCACCGTTCCCGCCTGCCCCGCAGGCCCCACAGGTCCCACAGGTCCTGTGGCTCCCGGGACCAGGGGCCGTCCAAAAGTGACTCAGTATGCAATATTGGTCTACTGTAGGTTCATGCGGCGTTGGCACGCCGGTGACGTTGGCGAAGGCATTCAAGACTGCATTCTGCGACGCGGAAGCACCGAGGGAAACCGTGGGGCCACTGCACCCGACGAAATTCAACCTTGAACGATATGAGCCGCGATCGATTCAAGGTTGAACGATCGACGCGGTGCCAAAAGCCTTGCGAGTGCCGACGCCGCGCGAACCTACCGTAGGGTCATTCGTCCAAACCTGTGGGGGTCGACGTTCCGGAATAGTCATGATGTTGGGAGTCTCGGGCCGCCGCCTATTTCCGCCTTGCCATCCTGTCCTCAATCATCCTCCTTTTTCTCCTCCTCCTCCTCAATCCTGCTCCTGCTCCTCCTGCTCCTGCCCTTCCTCCGTCTCCTCCCTCCCTCCTCCCCCTCCTCCTCCTCCTCCTCCTCCTCCTCCTCCTCCTCCTCCTCCTCCTCCTCCTCCTCATCCTCCTCCTCCTCCCCCTCCTGAGATGCCCCTCCGGTGAGGCCTGGCACCTGTTTTCATGGCGTCAGTGCCGAGCACCCTCGGGGCACACTGTACACGGCACTTATTTCGCAGGTTGGGCGGAGTGCAACCGGCCGCATTTCTGGAACCGCGGGCTATGGGGCTTGGGGTGAACGTTGCGAAACCTGTATCGACGGGTCTCCCGTCGTTGGGTGTAGCACGGCCCGAGTCTCGGCCTGGCCCTGCTGGTGAAGGCGGGTAGCGGCGCCTGTGCGGTCATTTCATTGTGATCTGACCCTCAGGGATTGGCATTTCCTCGGGAGGCGGTGGCTTGTGCCACGTGAGTCCCAAGGGGCCTTGTGCCCACCCAGGGCTGGGGAGTTGTGCTCCTCAGTATGCCGTGCCAGCTGTTCCGACTGGGATGCATTTGGCTCCCAACGCACCATGTCGGAACCGCTGGGCCGCGAGTCTTCACAGGCGACGTGGTCCCCCCCTATGCCCTTCCTGCGCAGCTGTTGCTGCTTTCCAGGCGGTAGTTCGTTGGCTGGGCGCGTGCAATACACGTGCGGCCTTCGGGAGACCGACCCTGGGCGCTGGACCCCCCCTCCTGAGATGCAATCCGTTTCACACCAGGCGTTGTTGCTCTTTTTCGGTTTCAATCGTATACGGATCACATAGGAACCGGATACGGATCATGGCCACGTTCGAGCTTAAGTACATGTGTTTTGTTGATCTCATGATCGGCCGTCGGTGATCGGACCGATCGCAACCGCTTTTTTAGATTCCCATTGGGCGGTTTAAGGAAGCTCATTGCACCCAGAAGCGCTCTTATGATCTCCTCCTTAATCAAAACCTCATTGAAACGACCCAACAACATCGCAACCACTTCGGACCGATCGCAACTGGTTGCGATCGGTCCGATGTGGTTGACGATCGGTCCGAAGTGGTTGCGATCGGTCGTGCTCGCGGGGGAGGAGCCCTGCCACCTCCTCGACACAGTCAAACCTAAGACAGAAGAACATCCTTCGAGACCACAAGAACCTCCGCCGGCCAAAACACGCAGCGCATCCGAGCAGGGTACCCTCTCCAGGATGCACGAGAACAGCCAACAAGCGCGAAGAACAGGGGTGCCTCCCTCCCCGAATCGATCTCGACCTTCTACCTCGGCCCGACTGCACTCCCCCCGCAGGGGAGGGTCGCGCCTGGGCAGTCGGAGCCTCCACAACCTGCAAGGGGGCCAGGGAGGGCAGGGCAGGGTCCAGGCAGGGCCCGACGCGGGCACCGGCACGAGGAGAGGCGCCGATGCTCGCCGAGCCTGGTCGGGCCGAGCCCCGGCCTACTATCCGCCGGCCCCGTCCTCCCCCTGCCCCTGCTCCCCCTCCTCCTCCTCCTCCTCCTCCTCCTCCTCCTCCTCCTCCTCCTCCTCCTCCTCCTCCTCCTCCTCCTACTCCGCCTCCTCCTCCTCTTCTTCCTCCTCCTCCGCCTCCTCCTCCTCCTCTTCCTCCTCCCTCTCCTCCTCCTCCTCCTGCTCCGCCTTCTCCTCCTCCGCATCCTCCTCCTCCTCCTCCTCCTCCTCCTCCTCCTCCTCCTCCTCCTCCTCCTCCTCCTCATCATCATCATCCACCTCCTCCTGCTGCTCCACCGCGTCCTCCGCCTCCTCCTCCTGCTGCTCCTCCCCCCCCCTCCTCCTCCTCCTCCTCCTCCTCCTCCTCCTCCTCCTCCTCGTTTCCTTCTTCTTCTCCTTCTTCTTATTATTAGTACTATTGTTATTCTTATTATTCTTATTATTCTTATTATTATTATTATTATTATTATTATTATTATTCTTCTTCTTTTTATTATTCTTCTTCTTCTTCTTCTTCTTCTTCTTCTTCTTCTTCTTCTTCTTCTCTCTTGTTGGGCCCAGATGCAGTCACCCACCGTATGCGCTGCACAATGCTAAATGCTACCCTGCTCATCCCGCCATCTACCCTACCAATGCGATCACTTCCGCCAAGCCCCACTCCAAGGATATGAGCTCGGCTTCGAACGAATGCTGCATAGATCCCAGATAACGACGGGCCCTTCGTAACAGTGACCGCTCTGACGAGGAGTTGTAAATGGACATTGCTCGTCGTCGTCGTCCTCGTCGTCGCCGTCTTCGGGGTCGGCGGCACCGGCCGCAAGGCCTTCACAATAGCCTGGTAGATGCGCCCCGTTTGCAGGAGAGCCCAGAGTCGAATCGAACAGTCGGTTCGGCGATCGAAAGGAATCGGATCGGCGGAAGTCGGCAGCCGAGTCTGGAGGAGTCGAATCGGCGGCACCCGGCAGGCAAATAAGGCCTCCATTGAAAAATCGGGATTCAAATCGGAATCCCAAGTCGAATCGGAATCGGAAGCCATCGAGATGCCGGAGGCCGAGTCGGGAGGAGTCGAATCAGCGGCACTCGGCGGGCTGAGCAGGGCCGCCACATTGAGAAGTCGGACTCCAGATCGGAACCCCAAGCCAAATGGAATCGGAATCGGAAGCCATCGAAATGCCGGTAGCCGAGTCGGGAGGAGTCGAATCGGCCGCGCTCGGCACGGGTAAGGCCTCCGCGGAGGGCTCGGAATCCAGATCGAAATCCGAGGTCGAATCGAATCGGCATCGGAAGCTATCGAAGTGGAATCGACCCGGAGGAATCGAAACGAGCCCTGGCTTTAGGTCGGGCATGTCCCCCTACAGGCGGATTTTGGACGACAAAGAAAAGATACTCCAAACATACCCCCGAATTGTCAAAAAAAAATCAAAAAAAAGTTCCCAGGCTATGTTTTGACTATTTTTGAATATTCCCTTGTAGAGGGACAAGCCCGACTTAACCCTGGCTTGGTCGGGCCGATCCCATCAGACAAATGCGCCCCCCCAGGCCTCACAGGCCGCTCC